GGCGCGGGTGGTGAGGAGCGGGGCGGGGCGGAAGCCTTGGAGAGGGAGACGGAACCTCGCGATAATTCTCCCGTGTTCTCGCAGTTTCACGATAGGTCGGACAAGAGGCTCGTTTTCCAAGACCTGTCCCTATTGGCCGAGAGCAAGGCTTCCTCCAGACGGGCCCCGCCCATCGCTCGACCCTTGCTTCCGGCTGTGGTTGGGAGCTTGCTGTGTGGAAAATCGCCTTCTGCATAGTCTTTTGAGGGGATGATTTAGCCGGCCCCAACCTCAGAAACCGCCAGCACCTGATGTGTTTTTTCATTCATACATTCCTTCAGGCACTCGTGCTCTCATTGGTCTCGGTTAAAGCATACGTTGAGGGATTACAATGGCAATAACACCCGAGCGCTTATTGTGTACCAGGCAGCGTTCTAAGAGCTGTGCATAGATTATCTCACTTAACCCTCACGCAATCCCGTGACACAGGTACTGTTATTATACCTTTTTGCCGGATGAAAAACTGAGGCCCAGTGGGTTTATGTAATGTGGCCAAGGTTGGTTAGTACGTAGCCTAAGCACAGGATTTAAGGGCTCACTGCGCGCTGATAGGGTTCCACAGCTGAGGCGGTGACCGAGTCTCTTGCTCTTGAAATACCTAAGGTCAGTTGTGAGAAACGATCACTGAAAAGGGCAATAACAACTTAGTAAGTTAAATATTATGGCAGTTAATAGCCTGACTGAGTAGGACGTCAATATTTCCTGAGGATGAAAATTCCTTAGTCAGCGGAAAGAGACGTCAAAGGAAGAGAGCTTTATGCTGGTAAAAAGAAAAAAATACCAAGCATTGTTAGGGAACATTTAAAAAGCCAAACTTATTTTTTAAATACCTTGTTGGTTAATATGGCAACTTTCTTTCTCAAGTGAAGTTTGTTTATATTAATTTTCTCTCATGAAACTGCTGTTATTTATTGTTCTTTGAAAAGCTTGATGTTGATTAATTTATTAACGGTTCACTGTCAAGCAACCTTAACTTTATAACTAGTTTCGCGTTGGTTTATTTAATTACTGTTAGAGATGAATAACCTAAAAGGCAGAGTTATACTAAATAAAAATAACGCCTATTCCAAAACAGGGTATGAGTTATAACGAAATACTTACCAATTACCTATTTATTAAACCTGGTCTTCAGAAGTTGATGTATATGGCATGGCATATGTCATGTAGTTCTAGGACCTTTGGTACAGGTTTCTAAATACCTAAGAATTTGTATTACTTAGAAATTTTTTGCTAGACGTAAAATGAGGAGACCTGTAGTTTGTAAAGAACTTTCTATACAGTTTGTAAAGAAAAATCTTTAGGGTATTAAGAATCAAGCCAAATAATAAGACTTGCTCCTAATATTGAAGAGTCACAAAAAAAGGATTAACAATAGAACAATAATTTTTTTAAAGTAATGTTAGCCTCTTAGTTTTCATTTCTTAAAAAAAGAAATATTTTAATGCATTGGTTAACATCCGATATTTGATCATGAAAAATGAATCATACTAGGGACGGCCCTGTGGCGTAGTGGTTAATATCGCGCATTCCGCTTGGCGGCCCCAGGTTCGGGGTTCCCAGGTTCTGATCCCCCCCGCGCAGCGAGGCACCGCTTGTCAAGCCATGCTGTGGCGGTGTCCCATACAAAGTAGAGGAAGATGGGCACAGATGTTAGCCCAGGGCCAGTCTTTCTCAGTGAAAAGAGGAGGATTGGCAAGGGATGTTAGCTCAGGGCTAATCTTCCTCATACACACAAAAAAAGAATCATACTAAAATAACTTACACCCCCTGAAACTGACATACAGTAGCCAAGTGATTCTGTTAGTATAGTATCCTATGACCACTCTTAAAAATTCTCTAAATTTGTCTAGTGTCAATTTTCACATTTTGCCTCACTCAAAACAAGGCGGAGGGGATCCTCTAATTTAAGCTAGTGATTTTGCGATCTTGGACAAACTTTAACATCAACAGGCAGCGATACCACTTTAAGAAAATTCCAAGGAAAAGACAACCCCATTTTAAAATTCCCACCCCTGGCTCCCAAGGATTGGGTTACAAACTTCTACAAAAGACTCTTCTCCACTCCCTATTGGTGCATGCTCTATCATTCATTCTTCTGCCCGGAGTTTTGTGAGGTACCAGGTTGCTTTACGGGAAAAGGCTGCTCTAATTTAGTCTGGAACTGCCCTACTTGAGACTTTTTCATAGTTATCAATCTGTACAAAGAATCACCAAACTGCTAAGGGAACCAATACTGGCAAATCAGGCTGCCGAGACAACTGTATAATTCGCTCGAAAAAGAAACGGAGAACTTCTCAAGCATACAGGGTAAATTTTTGACACGGATTTTACGACACGGAGATATGAGAGTTAAGGAAACTTTTCCAATTTTTCGCTAGTTTTAAAGGAGTAAGTGTCAAAGGAAAACGAGATAAAATAAGGGCACAATCTAAGAGTGGCAGGAAGACGAGTTTTCAGAGGGTGTTTTTCTTTTTAGGGTGAAGTTGGAAGAACATTATTGTTGGATTAGCAGTGGATTTTTGAATGGTAAAGGGAACAAGGTAATAAGATTAATTATAGATTATTTTATATTCTAAGAAGCTGTGGTTTGTTCTTGCTTTAATATGCATTTAAAGGGACACAGTAATGTTATTTGTAATTATCAAGTGGTGGATATTTTTGTTTACATATTATCATACCTAGCATAATAGACAATCCATCTATTAAAAGATATAAGAGAAAATTAGAATCATCTTTGGATCCAAATTTTGTGTATATTTTTAGATTAGGAGATCCAGGGACAGATCTGCTAATGACCAAGCGAAACATAATATTGGTATATGAAGCAGAATCAGTAGGTAATTAATGTAAGGATAAATTTTCAAAAATGAAATCCTGCATTTACATTTTCAAAAAGATATTTTCATTAAAACTAAAATATAAAAGTTAAGGAAAATATTGATAAACAAGAATAACATATATTAAAACTTATATTTGAAATAGCAACATAATATTTTTTTAGGATCCAGACCAATATATAATTCCAAAATATAACATCTTAAGGATTCTTCAAACATTAATTCAATTAATAAATATAATACCTAGTGGCACATGTATACCTCTACAAGGCCTAACCCATAGTGGGTATACAATAAATATTTCTTAAGGGGCCTCTGTTAATCCATGTATGTGGATATAAAATAATAAAATACAGTCTCTCAAGAAGCTCATACTCTAACTGGGAGAATGAGACTCAAAACATTTAAATGAAAACTTTTGGACAGTTCTTAATGCATACATGACCGTTACAGATCATACGTGCTTCAGGTGCTCAGATCAGTGTGAGCTGAAATACTCAGAGAGAACTTCACAGCAGGGTTCAGACCCAATTTGGGCCTGAGCAATGGGCAAAGTTTCAGTAGATAGAAAAGAAGGGAAGTGGCATCCCAGGTAGTGGGTGAGTTGTTAGCAAATATGTGCAGCCTAGAGAATAATTGGCTCTGACTGCAGCAGAAGGTTGATTTGGGGACTTTGGTTAAAAAAAAAGCATGAAAAGTCACATGAAAAGTCAAAATTGCCAGAATTAAGGAGTTTGGTGCTGGGTTTTGAACAGGAGGGAGACCTCATGCAAGTAGTATTTAAAAAAGATAAAACTGACGCAGTTTGAGATGGCTCCAAGAGCAGAGACTGGAAGCTAGCTAAGGGGCTAAATAGTGATAACTAATAACTACAAATAATGGAGTACAGATTGGTAGTAGCCTCTTAAGACATTTTATCCTAATAACTTTACTTTCGCATAGTTGAATAACATCAATCTTGATGCATTTCTTTCTATTCTTTTAAAGCATTGAGCTTATTTTTTTGTTTAGCACTACAAATACAAATTTTATTAGATGTGGCAGTGTTATGGTGCAATTAAAACAGTAAAAGTGATTGTTGTTCACATCGCATCAGTCCTTGCTCCTTTTCCCTCCGAATTTCATTGTGTTTCTTTGTTCTATTTAACTGAATTGAAGGAATTTCAACAATAATAACAAAAAACCCTTATGAGGGAAGAATGCCATGGGAGGATGGAAGATGTTCTTGCCCAGACTGTAGGCTTTCACCTGACCTGTTTCCCTGAGACAAAACTCAGTTCCATACACTCAGTGAGCTGCTACCATGTGCCGGATACTATCCTCAGTGTTGGGCAAACAAAGGTGAATCAGGACCATCTCCCAAAAAAGCAAAGTGATTCAGGGATACCAAGCAGGGTGTCTCTAGCTTCAAAACTTGCTTCAAAGAATCTGAAGCTCATCTAGCCTAAATTGTTGATCAGTGGTTCTTAATTAGGTAGATGGAGAAGGAGGAATCTCTGGCTGTGGAAAAGAACTCTGAAACAAGGCTCCCTGATGTGGTAGATCGCAATGCTCACCAAATAATTCCATTTACTCCCCTGGATACCTAGCCCTCTTTGCAGTTAGGGGAGCAAATGAAATGTTAGCAGAAGTGACTTGTGTCACTTCTGGGCAATGGCATCCACAGTTTTCCAATCTCTGTTAGTCCACTATGACTCTTGTTTATGTATAGTTAAACCTTGGTCAGCCTGGGTCTCTGAGAGACTGTGGGTCAGACATTCTCACTCCCCACCCCCATCTCCAACCCCCCTCCTAAACCCTTGGGTCTGTAGTGTGTAGGAGCCGGTGTCTTACCTCATTACAGCCTCTTCAATCCTGACCACCTCAACTCTTAACAGCCTTTCCCCTGGGGATATTGGTATTTCATTTATTTAAGATTTCTTAAGTTAAAAAAAAAACACCCTAGTCAACTGAGTTTCATGTATCAGGTTGATGAGACGTTTGGGGGAAAATTACACTATAAAGATGGTTTAATTGCTCATCCAGTAAACATTTATTGAGGCCTACTAGGTGCCAGGCGCTAATGCCATGTGACCCTTCTATTTGTAGAGCCAGAATATTAACTTAAGGTTGGTTTTCAAGATTTTGGGGGCCTCTGCCACATTGTCTTTAGGAATCAGGGCTGCCCTAACTTATAAAAGTCTTGCAGTCATAAGATGTATAAAAGCTAGAATTACACATAAAACTGCATTGTGGTTTCATAGCTATTTTTTAACAGTTTTAGTGAGGTATAATTTACATACCACAAAATTCACGCATTTTAAGGATATAACTCAATGATTTTTTAGAAAATTTACAAGTTGTGTAACTATCACCACATTCCAGTTTTAGAAAATTTCTATCACCCTAAAAGGATACTTCACGCCCATGTGCAGGCACTCTGCACTCCTACCCCTAGCCCAGGCAAACACTAATAAACTTTCTGTCTCTATAGATTTGCCTTTTCTGGGCATTTACTTTAAATGGAATCATACCATATGTGGTATTTTGCATCTGGCTTCATTCACTTAGCATAATATTTTTGAGGTTTATCCATATTGTGGTATGTATCAGTACTTCATTCCTTTTTATTGCCCAATAATATTCCATTGGACAGACTACCACATTTTTTTTAAAAAATATTTATTTATTTATTTTTCCCCCAAAGCCCCAGTAGATAGTTGTATGTCACAGTTGCACATCCTTCTAGTTGCTGTATGTGGGACGTGGCCTCAGCATGGCCAGAGAAGTGGTGCGTCGGTGCGCGCCCGGGATCCGAACCCCCGGCCGCCAGCAGTGGAGCACGCACACTTAACCGCTAAGCCACGGGGCCGGCCCCAGACTACCACATTTTGTTTATTCATTCACTAGTTGATGGACATTTAGATTGCTTTCAGTATTGTAAACAATGCTACTATGAAGATGTGTATAAGTTTTTGTGTAAACGTGTTTTCAGTTCTGTTGGAATGAGAACTAGGAATGGAATTGCTGAGTTATACAGTAACTCTGTGTTTAACTTTTTAAGGAATTACTCAACTGCTTTCTAAAGTGAATGCAGGATTTTACATTCCACCAGTGTTGTATAAGGGTTCTAATTTCTCCACATCCTCACCAATACTTCTTAACATCTGTCTTTTTGATTGTAGTCACTCTGGTGGGTATGTAGTGGTTCTCATTATAGTTTTGATTTGTATTTTCCTAACAACTAATGATGTTGAGCATCTGGTCATGTGCTTATTGGCCGTCATGTATCTTCTTTTGTAAAATATCTATTCAAATCTTTTGCCTATTTTTTAATTAGGTTATTTGTTGTCTTATTATTGAGCTGTAAGTGTTATTTATATATTCTGGATAAAAGTCCTTTATCAGATAAATGATATATCTGCAAAATATTTTGCCCCATTTTGTAGGTTGTCTTTTGGCTTCTATAATGGTGTCTTTTAGAGCAACAAGAGTTTTTAATTTTGATGAAGTCCAATTTATCTATTTTTTCCTTTTCTCACTTGTGCCTTTGATACTGTATCTAAGAAATCTTTGCCTAACCCAGGCTCATACATAGTCCTATGTTTTGTAAGAGTTTTATAGTTTTAGCTCTTATTTTTAAGTCTTTGATCCAGTCGGAGTTAGTTTTTGTATATGGTGAGAGGTAAGATTCCACCTTCATTCTTTTGCATGTGCCTATCTATTTGTTCCAGCACCATTTATTGAAAGGACTGTTTGTTCCCAACTGAATTATCTTGACACTCTTGTCAAAAATAATTGACCATAAATGTAAGGGTTTATTTCTGGATTCTCAATTCTATTCCATTGAGCTCTATGTCAATCCTTATGCCAATATCAAAACAATATCTGTTTTGATTACTGTAGCTTGGTAGTAAATTTTAAAAATAGGAAGTGCCAGTCCTCCAACTTTGTTCTTTTTCAAGATTTTTTTAGCTATTCTAGGTCTCTTGCATTTCCATATGTATTTAAGGTCAAATACTGCCAAAAAAGAAAAAAAAAAAAGGCAGCTGGGATTTTGATAGGGATTACATTAAATCTGTGCATCAACTTGGGGAGTATTGCTGTCTTAGTAATATTAAGGCTTATAATCCATGAACATGGAATGTCTCTCCATTTATTTAGATCCTCTTTGATTTCTTTTGGTAATGTTTTTCAGTGTAAAAGTCTTGTACTTCTTTTGTTAAAATTATTCCTAAGTATTTTATTCTTTTTGCTGCTATTGTGAAAGGAAATGTTTTCTTAATTTTATTTTCAGCTTGATAGAAATACAATTTTTCTTCATTTTGTATCCTATGACCTTGCTGAAATTGTTTAGTAGTTCTAGTAGGACAAAGTGTTTTTGTTTTGCTTTTCTGTGTGGATCCCTTAGGATTTTCTATATGTAGGATTATGTCATCTGATAAGAGTTTTATTTCTTCCTCTCTAATCTGTATACCTTTTATTTCTTTT